TTGTCATATTCGAACGAATTTCGTAAAGTCATTTTTTGAATAACGTTTCCCTCTCCGTCACAATTTTCACGATGCGTATAACCGCGCACGTGAAACGAGGGTTATCCCTCACGTGGTAGTGTCTCCGGGTTTTTATCTTAATTTACCAGTCGTTTCGCTAATCTTATTTGCTCGAGCTGGACGCAGTTTAATTCCATTAGCGAAATTAAAGTTCTAGCAAAGAGTATTTAACTGCGGATCGATGCTACTAACCCGCAAACCATTAAGATAAACTCCGGTGAACTCGATTCTGAATAACGCGGATAGAAGAGAAATTTTTTCGTTACGCGATCATCGCTTTTATTCCTCTCCAAAAAAAAAAAAGCGAAATCATTTTCGTTTATATTTGATAATGTGGCATAATAAAACGAAAATAACGCAACATAAAACGTATACGTATTTTTGACTGAAAAATGTTACGCAATATAACGAAATTAAAAAAGTGAGGTTATATGATACAATCCAATTAGAATGGTTAGAATCTAAGAAGATAAAGCAAGACTGACCTGATATAAATGATGACGCCATTGGTGCATATCCTTTTCCATCCACGTGGTACCGTAATAGCTTGTTGCTGTTGCTGTTGCTGCGTAACCACCGCACTACCGTTCATTGTCAGCACTACATTTTGTTGAACGACGTTGTTATTGTTCGAATTGTTGATGCGCGAAAGCGGCGGTTGACGCGCAGCCTGCTGCGCGCACGAACCGCCGCCGTTAACCGACGCGGCAGACAAACCATCGTGTGCTGATTGACTTTGACTTTCGGGACTGCTCAGGCTACTATACGTCGACGATTCACCGGTATCAGATCGGACAGAGTCACAGCTAGTCGCACCACTACCACCACTACCGATAACGACAACACTACCGCCACCACTGACAACACCGACATTCGAACCGGACGAAGAGAGCGACGAGCCGGTTTGGTTATCGAAACCGTCCTGTTGCCGGCTTTTCTCCTCCATATTGATACGTTGTTCGACACTGTCGCCTTGAAAAACACTCGCGGACGCTTGAGACGGTTCGTTTCGTACATACGCGACACAGGCGTCGTCGCTTAAAACACCGACGCAACCCTCCCCGGGATTCCCTTGCGTGATCTGACTACCGCTACCGTTGTAACCGTCGGTCAATCTCGCTCCTGATGGATAAACGTCACCGTGAATCCTCGTTGGAAATAATTTGTTGGGTAGCATTTCGCCGACGTTCACCCTACAGATCGGCTCCACGTTGTTCGTTGCGAGGTTATCGGTATTAGTCGAATCGTTTTCCAATGGATTTCGGTTTTCCGGATTTTTGCCGTCGCACGCCGCCGCTACACACGTCATCGTGGTGGTCGTGGACGTGCCGGTCGTTTGAACCAGATTCGTCGTCTGTCTGTACAATAAACCGTTGTTGGAGACGATCGATCCATAATCTTCTTCGTCTTCGGTGTTACCGGTGGACATGGATCGTGCCGATCGGCTCGACTCTCCATCGGTGGACGCATATTCGAGCGGTTTTAACCGGCAACAATTGTTAACCGTGGTTGCAACGGTGCCGTTGTTATCGTTGCAGTAAATGGCGGTTTTGGCGGGAAACGTCGCCGCCGCCGTCGCCACCTGCGGCGGCAGAATGCCGGCGTACGTTGCCTGCTGTGGAGACTGATAGCCGACTGCGGTAGCAGCAGCAGCAGCGGCGGCGGCATTCTGACCGACCGCCGTCGCGTACGCAAAATTCTCCCCCGAAACGTAGACTAGAACGCTATTTTGTTGAATCCCCTGTGCGTGTTGAGGATGTTCTTGTTGCTGTTGTTGTTGTTGTTGTTGTTGTTGTTGATTATGGTGGTGATGTTGATGCTGATGTCCGTGAGTCGGGAGAGCAGGGTGTGTGGACGGCTGCTCAGGCTTGCCGGCCATGGTCCAGGTCCAGCAGCGCTGCAAGTAACCCCGACACGGACATCACTGGAACGCAGGTAGCACGCCTACGTGGAGATACCTCCAGGTTCTGCGGCATCCTCCCATAAACGGAAATGATCACGCGTCTACCACTACCGAAATCCACCGCTTTCTATCGGTCGTTCCTCTTGGCCACGTACGCTCATCGATCATTCGAATCTCACACCTGCCATACACGATCTTGTTATTCGACATCCTTGGCTTGACCGTACACCGCATACCAGATGGACAGTTCACCGATCGTTCTCTCTTTGCTTAATTTCTCGATAAATTTTTAAATCGCGAACACGCTCACAAACACTTTCTTCGTAGATGATCACAGATTATAACAACGGTGCCAAGATTTTGAAATTAGAGAGTATCCGTCGGACGAAAGACGCGCTATTCACCGGTCAATGCCCGTCTAACCTCTCTCTTGTGATTGGTATACTCTACCATCATACTAGTTTCGTTGATTGTTCGTAATTTTAATGTATCGGAAATCACGGTAAAATTATTGGTATTATTCTCTTTGTTCGATGATTATGTATCATAAAAAACAATATGATAGATCATAGATGATTAAACAATATTTTCCATTTGATCGATATATTTTCGTGAAAAATAATTCGTTTCGAAAATGAAAACGTTATTTTACTTTTTTTATATTCATATGGACTAAGAGATTTCTTCTATGAGAAAACATTTAAAAATTGGATAATTACTTATAGTAAATCGTATATTCTTAAATAAATTCTATGACATTTGGAGCAAAAAAAATAAAAAAAGAATAATTCTTTTAAAATTTCCATTCCCAATACCCGTTTGACGTACAGTAAATAATAACATTGTTTATTAGAAAATTACGCGTCTGTTGTCATTTACAAGGTTGATTTACAAAGCGACGATTCATTCATTTGTCTCGTTTACCGATTCAGTCGCGTTCAAACAACACAATGGGGCCAAGCATTCAACTAACCTAGACTCTTGAACACGCTGTTATACGTAACGCGGTATAGTAGGTTACGTTGGAAAACTGCGTTTAAAGTAGGAAATTTTAACGAATGTTGTAGATCAACAAACAACATTCAAGTCAACTTTGGTGAAAATAGTACTACGTTTACAAATGAGAAAAATTTAATTTTGTCAGATAAATAGTTAAGATCGTTGTGTCATTGCCATAGTCCTGTCGCTTTATTCGTGGTCGCAGTTCTAATTACTCCGTTTCACATAGACGCACTTTTCGATTAATGAATAGCACTCAATTATGTCATTATAAGCCACTGTCACTAAAAAAAATACGCTATTTTGAATCTTCGTTCACACACTATAGAAGAAAGCCATTTTCTTCGACACTGAATACGTAAAGGTTAATCGTGACCGAGCCACGGCTCGCTCGATCGGTAATGGCGCGAATACACTCTCGGTATAAAAAACACTTTATATTGCCGTAACAATTCACGTTAAATCGCACGGACGGACGTACGTCGTGTTATGACGCTGTGTCATCGTCACAGCAGCAGTAGCACCACCACCACCACCACCACTGCCTCCACCACCACCACTAGTACTACCACCACTACCACCGGTCGCGGTTACGAACTCGGGTTAAGTTAACTAACCCTCTTCTCGACTCGAACACCTGCGCGGGCCGCGCTCATCGTTTTCACCGAACCTCACTTCTTGATCGCGTGGAAACGTACGCTTATTATATTCTGACTAACACAGTTTCCTCGCTTTCTCGCACTGATCCCTCGTCGTTTACTTCGTAATCACTTCCTTTCGTAAAACACTTCTTCGACATAAACTATTGAGCGAAACTCCATTCTGCAGATCCTATGCGTACGCTGTTTTCGCGTAACTGATATTGGAAAAATATGGCTCCCTCCGCATACCCAGAAACCTTTGCGGCATCTCGACGGCTGGCTTTCGGGCACTCGTATACGCACGTTACAAAAACATCGACCCTCGCTGCGATTATATCGCCATCGTTAGGCTATTCTACGTAACTCAAAGGCACGTTAACATTGTTACTTCCCACGAATGCCACCATTTAATATACTCGCATGCGTATACCGTTTAAATTTATATAAGTGTATAACAAGTCTTTCACATATATCTCTCAATAAAAATTATTAAAATATTGTATATTATTCGATTATTTTCACAAATGTATTGATAATTATTAAGTAAAATTTAAGAATCTAAAAAAACAAATTTGTTAAATAATATGTATAAAGAAAATTGAAGCGTAACATGCATGAGGGATCAAAGGTCAAATTTTATAACAACTTTTTTTTTGACATACTTGACATTATACGTTTTCCAATTTATTTGAGACGATTCAGAAATATTCTAATCAATCACCAATTTATCTATGTATAATAAATAAGATTATAATACGCGTCTATTTAAATTCGCTATAGTATTTGCGGACGAGTACATGACCTTGTATACAGTAAATTACGTGAATGTGAAGGCGTGTTTAATTTAATGCAGGCGATCATTAAATTGGACATTTGTTCACGCGCATTATTCAACTTCAGAGTATATGAAACACATTATAATGATTAAGAGAGTAGTCTCTTTACATTATTAGATACATTTTTAGAAATAAATTTACTTTGATTCCAGTATTATGATTATTATATAAGTACTGGAATATCTTTTCTTTATTACAACAATGAATACGCGCAATAGTCCTGTTTTACACATTGATACCACACTTTTTTCTTGATTATTATATGTTTCATAAACAAAATATTTTTCTTGGTATCATTATATGCCAATATGAGATTATAAACAAATTAAACACTACCTACATATAATGAAATAATTGAAAAAAAGAAATAAATAATTTTGAAATTTTATAACCAAAATTATAGACATATATATTTATAATAGAATATTCACCAATATATTTCGTACTATTTTTATAATCTCGTCGTTACTAATACAGACATCGAGTTAAATTCTGAAAGTTGGTATTATAATCAAATATTAATAATTTAAAGAACTTTAGGGAATACGAATACAGGTAAGGTACTAATTTGACTGTCTAACTTTATTTCTAGCATTTAGTATGCGCGTATCGATCAGTATCGAAAATCGTTAAATAGAAAGAAATTCACAAATAGCAGAAAATAATCAGAATGTTCAGCGTTACATGATATAGTTGATTATGTTCACTATTAACGATACACGATGTTGCATTAGATGTTGAGTCAGCTTTCCTTATCACTTTTCTTAATGATAAGTACATCTTTTTAAATACTTCTCTACAGCAAGCAATGAACTAATTTGTAATCAGTTTACCAGTTTTCACCAGAATTTATAATTTAATTTAGAAGTGATAATAAATGTACCATCAACAGCATTAAAGGTTTCCTATACAATTCAATATTTATGAATGATCTTTATATTAATATCATTAGTGATTCTGTAGTCGTAGCTTTCACAGTCGTGCACATATCTAAACATTTTTCTCAGATTCTTTTCATCTGTCTTGAAAAACTTTGTTATATGTCCGCATTTTTTCATTCTTCTGTTAATAACATATGGTTCAGAATCAAGCGAATGGGACAAAAGTTTAAAATGAAAGAATGATCATATTTATTGTGAGACTGATGTAATTGAATTAATTTGTGGCACATTGGACACCTGAAGAACCTCTTTCGTCTTCCTCATACGCTTCTCGTTGTTCTCTTCGCCTTACTTCTTGTTCTGGATCCAAATCCATAAGAGAACAGTCTTCCGCTCCTTCTGGAATTATAACTTCTTCTCTTGGTGGTAGGCATTGTTCAAGTGTTGGAATGACGGAAGGGTCCATAGATTTCGGGAAATTCACTACAAATTGAATTATAAGTCTGCCATGTGTGAAAGGATCTTTATAAATTGGCATTCCTTCATTTAGAATGCACTTTAAGTCTCCGTGCTTTACAACAGTTCCAGGATATGAAGTTATTACTAAATCTCTTCCATCTAAAGTGCGAATAACTTTCTGGAATCCACATAGAGCTTCTACAAGTTCTAATTGCATCCTCATAATTAAATCATGACGCGAACGTCTAAAAAAAAAAAAAAAATTATAATATAATAAGAAATACAATCAATATAACAAAATATAACAAAACGATTAAACATAACAATTACATAATTACTTACTTGAAAACTTCGTGTTCTTTCTCTTCAAGAAGAATAACAATATCTCCTGGCTCATAATCTGGTTCTTGATCACCTTCTCCAGCAAAGACGATCTTCTGATTATGTACCATACCTGGATCAACATGAACTTCCAGAATTTTTCTATCTCTAATAGTTTTTCTACCACCGCATTGTTTACAACGATCACGTGGATTTATGCGATCCCCTTGACCTTTGCAGTCTACACATATAGTTTGCAAATGTTGCAACATTCCAGGACCCAATTGTTGTATTTGAACTTGCATGCCAGAACCATGACATGTTGAACATTGTTCCACAGAACCTTTCTTTCCACCGATACCTAATGTAAAGAATTTTAGTATATTTATAATATATTACATAATTTTCTGTTTATGAAAAAATTGTGTGTGTGTATATATATGAATACATAATATATACCTTCGCATTTATCACAAATAACATTTTTCTGTAATGCTAATTTACGGACAGTTCCCTTATACAATTCCTCCAATGATACAGATAATTGATGTATAACATCTTGTCCTCTGTGTTCTCTCCTGCGACCACTTCTTCCTCCTAAACCTCCACCAAAGAACATATCAAATATATCACGTGGCGAAGAGAATACATTGCCACCTGCTCCTCCTTCTTTTAAAGCTTGTTCTCCACCTTGATCATAAATTCGTTTTTTTTCAGGATTTGACAAAACTTCATATGCTTGTGAAATTTGTTTAAACTATAATAAGAAAATAAGATATATAAGATATAATAGATAAATAAATATAAATTATAATATTTAAGATATTTAATATGTATTAAGATTAAAATACCAACTTTTTCTCCTTCATTAGGATTCTTATCAGGATGATATTTCAGTGCAAGTTTTCTGTAAGCTTTCTTTAAATCTTCTTGTGTGCATCCAGGTTTTACACCCAACACATCATAAAATGTAGTTTCTTTTACCATTTTTACTGATTTATTTTCTTCTAATGATGTTCAATTATTACAGTAGTATTTTTCCTGCTAAAGATCAAATAAAATAAAAAAATTATATATTTTAAATTATTAATTTAAAATATTATTTATTTTAATTTAATATCTTTTATGAAATAACAACTCATTAAATAAGGAAACAATAAACAATAATTAATTATTCTTTACAATATTCAGTATATAATTTTAAATCAATAAAATTAAATAAAAAATTCTACTTATATTAAATGTACATAATTTGCATACATAGTTTTATTTAATGTTTAATAATATTTTTTTATAAACAAATTATAATGTACATAATCATAATAAATGTATTTTACCAGAAAATAATATAAAAATTGTGTATATTTATTAAAATAAATTTTACAACTTATATAAATATAATTTAATAAAATATAATAATAGATAAACATATTTAATATTTTAAACAAACATGTTATAATATAAATGAATAATATTATAAATTATAATATATTTTAAAGAGAATTTTTATACTATTTTCAATAAATTATTTACTTAGTTCTATTTATTTATAATTATTTATAATTATTTTATTAAATAAATTTAAATTTAAAAGAAAAATCAAATACTAAAAAATAACATAGTAATTATCATAATTATTCAGTAGATTATAAAATGTATTAATTGTATAAATTTATTAAAACTTGAAATTTATTAACTAAATGCAACATTTACAAAACTGAATAGTATTAAATTTCACATTATATTATGAATAAAATATCTATTTTATAAATTATTTATAATTTAATTATTTTTTTTTTATAAAATATAAAAACAATATTAATCTTTATATATACTATATATAACTATATGCATTTTAAATATAAGAATTATGCGTACTGACCTTGAACTTCAAGTACTTGTAATTTTTAATAATGATATAACACAAATAAATATATATATTAAACAATTACAAAATTATTTAAATTTATGTTGAATAAAAGTTTTACATTCAATATATTTAAACTTCAAAATACATTAATTATTTACTCATAGAAAAAGTACAACGAATTGTATCCATGTGCGTGTTTGGTTTCAAAATGGCGACGAGATTCATTTTAAAATAATAAAATGTAATTAATTGACATGAACAAAAAATTAAAACTCGTTTCAATTTAACGCAGTGTTTGCCGTGTTGTGAACAAAGAACACCACACTTTCTAGATCTTTCTGCTAGCATATATACATATACATACATATAGGTAGCCAGAAAAAGCTTGGACTACCGGTTAAAAATTAGATAAGAAAAAAGAAAAAATATCAAAATTATAATTTTCTCAAATAAAAAATTAATTTTAGTTTGTAATCTAAATAATATAAGCGAAATTAAAGTTATTATAATTTATTACGACTAAGTGACAGATATACTTTGCAAGTTCAACCACGTTTGGTATTGACACGAGTAAGGCAATAGGAACATCCACCATTTTTCAACGTTAAAGTGCGAGTCATGGACGAGCATAACTTATACTATGATAAAATTCATTTACGCGTATTTCGTAATATACAATATGTTTAAGCATGCATACAATTATTATTCAACCTTCAAATGTCCACTTCAATTTCAGATTCATTGAAAAAGTTCTAAAATTAGGCCAATATTCTGTAATAATTTCAAATGTTATGTCGTAAATTGATTCTGCATGTTACTGCTATATGAATTTTAATCCCAAGAAAAATTCACGAGTTCGCAATCGATCGCAAGATTCAACGGTGGAAATTCCATTCATCTGCGCATATATTCTAAAATATTCTAAAATTCTCGATTATCAATGTTTAATCCTACCTGTATCAGCAGAAAGGAAGCCACTCGTGGAAAATATCCGTGCCGTGAAGCCTCGTCTCACTCCACGTAATAGTATTTGACGAACTGTTGTAAGCGAATAGAACTCTCACCAATATTACTGCTTGCTTGTACCCGTTCTCGAAACTTCCTAGGAGAGTAATGGACGTTACTCGAAAGGGAACCAATCAGGTAGACAGAGAATTGCAGTCAGCGCCAAATGCTATTACGGTCTTCCTAAGAATTTCGCAATGTATATTCTAATACTTTATCGATAAAGTAGCAAATAAATATTTTTTTTTAATACTGAAATGAATAAACATATTAAATAATATTACAAAATTTTTATATATTCTAAAATTGTAATAAAAATTATAATTTTTATTAAAGAATTTATTAAAAGATACATATTTTTTTGATCTAATTACAAATCTACAAATCCAATTATATTGAAAATTTTCTTATTTCTATTTCAATAAAATAATGATTATATGCATATTATTTTAAATAACTTTACTTAAATAAAAATTATATTTTATTTAATCATATTATAATCATAATTAAATTTTGATTATAAAATATATTTTGAAAGCTCTAGATTTTATTATAGAAAAATATTTAAAATCCCTATACAAATAGTTATATTATATTATTATGTATTTCATATTATAATAATTTTATATTATTTTAAATATTTAATAATATTATATCATTCTTTTAATAAATTAAATTTTTTAATTATATTTTTAAAGAGAAAGAAAGAATAAATAAATTTTTAAGTTTTATACAGGATAATTATAAAATTAAGTTTAACCGTCGTAGATAGCGCTGCACATTTCCGAAATTATCCTTTTGCTGGCGGTACGATAATCGAACAAAATGGTAAGTATTTCGTATCCTAAAATTATCGATTAATCATTGGAGAAAATATATAATATATATTTAAAATGTTATTAATAATGTACAATTATCTTTTAACAAATATAATTTATTGATATCATTTTTTTTTATGCAATATTTATATTGATGTAGCATAAATTATTCATCTAAAAATGTAATACTATTAATAAAAAATAAAATATAAATAAAAGTAACTATATAAATAAAACTATTATATGAACTAATTTTAATCATTTTAAATGTTTTTTCATAAAATTAATAATTAATAATTCAAATAAATGTAATGTTAAACAAAATATAACCTTAAAATTGTGTCAATGTTTGTTATAGACGGAAGGTGCAGTTACAATTAGAACTAGAAAGTTCATGAGCAATCGGTTACTATGCCGAAAACAAATGGTATGTATTTATATTTTTATTATTTCTTTCAAATTAAGTTAATATCTATTTAGATTTTTTATTTTTTACTTTCATATCATTACACGTGTATAATTATATTATTTATATTATATAGATAATCAATTAATTGATAAAAAATAGAAATATTATAGATAATTATATTTTTATAAAATTTTTTTCAGGTTGTAGATGTATTTCATCCAGGTCATCCATCAGTTCGAAAAACAGAAATACGTGAAAAACTAGCTAAAATGTACAAAGTTACACCAGATGTAGTTTTTGTATTTGGTTTTCAAACTAATTTTGGTGGTGGTAAATCAACTGGATTTGCATTAATTTATGATACATTAGACTTTGCAAAAAAATTTGAACCTAAATATAGGTTAGCTAGGCATGGATTATTTGAAAAACAAAAACAAACAAGAAAGCAACGTAAAGAACGTAAAAACAGAATGAAGAAGGTTAGAGGTACAAAGAAGAGTAAAGTTGGAGCTGCATCTAAGAAGGTAAACTAATATTGTAATTATTTTTTATAAATTATTACATTTATTTATATCTGTATAATTATTTATTATTTAATTATCATTACAACTAAAAAATAATAAAATTTCTTTAAAAAATTTTTATTTTTATATTAAAATATTAATATATATATATTTTAATATTAATATTTATTTATGATTTATATTAATATTTTTTATATGTTAATTTTTTTTGTAAATATTATATATAATATTATATATAAATTATATATAATATTATATAATATTTTTTGTAAATATTAAGGAAGATATAGCAATATAAATAACAAAAAATTAAATATTTTATATAAATTAAATTTAAATAAAAAAAATCAAAATCAATCTTAATGAGTAGAATTTTTTATTTATTTTTATTTATTTTTATTATTTTATTTAATCAAAGTTCTTAAAAATTAAGATATAAAATGAACAAGCATGTTTATATTTAAGTTCTATGAAAAAAAAAGTGTTATTATTTTTACTAATTATTGTTTTAGGTCTTAAGTCATTCAAATTAAACAAATTTTATATATAATGTCTATAAAATATATATTTAAGTTTTGCATGCTATTCAGTGGTATACGCTTTTTATTTACATTCTAGGGAAAGAAGTAGTCAAATGCTCATCATTTGTACTACAAGTCTCAAGAGGGAACTTAATTATGATGCTCATATATATGGTCAGCATGCAAAAGTCTAGGTTTCAGTTTCCCTTTTATATGTTTTCTTGATTTCCCTTTTTTAGATTTGCTTGGATTTGTCTTGTATTATAATCCTAATGTAATATAAATTTTAATGGAATTCTTTTTTAGTTTAGTGCATATTTCATTCATTGTAAAAAATGCTTTTTTAATTTTTTCGTATTTAAAATTTTATATGCCATATTTAAAATGAAAATAATTATGAAAAAATAATAAAATTATCTAATTTATTATCAGTTATTAACATATCATTAAAATCATTATCTTTATCTTGTAATTATCAGTTGTTTATTATAATTTTTATTAATTTTTAATATATTTTTTACATTTGAATTGAATATTATAAAAAAATTATTTTTGAGATAATCAAAATTAATATTAATTTTTTTTTTCATATGTGATGTAAATATAAAATAGACATATATTAATTAAATATTATAGAATAATTTATTATTTATAATTTTGAGATAATTTAAATTAATGTTAGCTTTTTTTTTATTTAGAATGTAAAATAAATATATATAATTAGCATTATTATTATCATTTAAAAATATAAAGATATTTTATATAAAATCAAATAGAAAAACATTTCAGCTTATATTGAAGCTTTTTCTTTTTTTATTATTATATATATATTATCATTGTATCTCATGCTTTTATTAATATTAAATTGTAGAATTAGAAGTAGATTTGCATGTATGGAATGTAACATAATTTATTAATATTAAATTGAAAATATATTACTGATAATATTATTTTTTCTATTTTTTATTACAGTAAAACATCACGAAGACCACAATTTGTTCAACATGGACGTAAAAATTATTATAATAATTTATTATCACAGATAATTATGATAAGTTTTACGGAATAAAAGTGTACTCTTTTTGATGAAAAAAAATTGAGTGCAGTACTCTTTTTTTTTTTTTTATATATATATATATATACCTTATTTATATAATAGTTATCCATAAGCATTTATGAAAATATTATATGATTATAAACATATTCTGATAACGAATATTCATTTTCATATAAAAATAAAAATATCTTAATCAAAAATTTTAATAAAAGTACAAGGTTTAAAGAAATCATAAAATTTTATTATTTTTTCGGATGTTATATTATCCCATAAGAACTTCTGCTGATCCTTTATGGACAAAATCGTTATCAGCTTCATTGTTTTTTAATTGTTCATTCGCTTGCTCAATAGTTTGTATCGTTGTTTGCGTATCGGTTTGTTGTATCAAAATAGTCGTGAATAAGCTGCTCGGTAAAGATTTTGTTACTTCTAGATCGTTTATAATTTCAGATGTTATTTCAGTATTAGTTTCGGTTGAATCTTTTGACTGAATAATACTGGGCGGTTGAAAAGTAACATCTAATTCATCAGAATTATATTCGAATTCATTTTGATTCATAAAATCTTTCCGAATAAAATACCAATTGCCAATTCGAAATCTCAAATTTTCATTAGAATTGAAAAATAAAGTAGCTGTAATTTATAATTATTAAAATTAACAAATTTAATGAAAAATTAATATATTTAAAATAATTTAATTTTATTTAATCTTATTTCAATCAATTTTTTATATAAAATTACCAAAGAAATTATAAACATAGGAATCCTTACATAAATTTAATAATTGCCATTCATAATTTCTTAATCTATTTCGTACTTCAAATAATTGTTCATAAATTTGATTTTTTAAATTATAAAACCAATCTTTTATATCTTGAAAAAATTCATTGCTATATTGAAAATCTGTCTGTAATCCATTGTTTTCTATAATAAAAAACTTTGATTTTATTCACATATTTTAAAATTATATATCAAAGTACATTAAAAAATAAATTTATAAGATGATTATAAAGATACGAAGAAATGAAATCTTTTGTAAGTATATCTAAATATTTAAAGAAAATATTTTTAAAGTTTCTATATAAAAGTTCATTATTAATATAACATTAACAAAATGTTTGAAAAAATATAATACCTTTATCACAACTTGTAATCGATGCAGATAAATTAAAAGTAAATAATAATACAATAATAAAGAAAAGATACATTTTTTTTAAAAAATACTGATTTCAGTGAATAAATGTCCCCAATCACTGATTCAGTGAATGTTCATGGCTTTATATATATATTCTACCGGAAAAAAATACTCATTAGTACAACAATTCTATCGCGAATCAATTATATTAAACAATGCTGTTATGCAACTTTGATAACCTTGTTTATTTTGATTTTGTCATATAACTATAATAAACAAAAAATATAACAAGATAAAGAAATAATACAAAATATTTTCAAATATATATATGTTCAAAATATAGTACATGTTTAAAAAATATTTAACATATATAATATAAAATTTTAATTTACTGAATTGTGTGATATTTTATTAATAATAAATCATTATAATAAAAAATCGTCTAATAATTGATTAAATAATCATGAAGAAGTTATTATTTCTGTTATTATGAATTATTATTTTCCTGTGAATTTTTGATTCATAAAAATATTATTATTTTCTAATAGCGATTTTTTATAAATACGGATTTGACTATTCTTTATTCTTCCAGTGAAAATTAATTAAAATAAAGATCATTTTTATCGCAGCAAAATATTTACAACACGAATGACGCAGAATATATATATGTACATATCGTGCAAATATATACATTAATTTTATTTTAAATTACAAAAAGAATTGAATTTTCTAATATAATATTACATTACTTTCTACATGGTGGAAAAAATAAAAATACAAAAATAGAATATCGATTGTATAACATCAAAACAAATATTATGGTTTTCTGTAATTTAACAAGTTATTTAATAATAATTACTAAATTCTATAACTATTATTTATATAATCTGTATAATCTGGAAAAATGCACTAATTTTGCTTCGTTTTAAATTACATGCAATAATATGAGCATTAATTTATTGAAAAAAGTCTTATTTGTGATTTAACAAGTATTACAATTAAATATATTCAAAACAATTAGATCATATATTATAATTTATAAATTATCTTTATAAATATATCATATAATTTCTTGAAAATTTTTTGTAGAAACTTTGTGTTGTATATTAAATGTTAATTTATTTTCTTTCTAACATTCTTTTCTTTTCGCATAATTAGAACTATAAACTACCATAATCTAAAGTTTGTTCAGAATAGCTAGTAAATTCGGCTACATATTAAAGTGGATTCATCCATAGTGACACATTTAGTAAAATTATATTTAAAATTTTTATTATTAAAAATTCGTGATTTTAGTTTAATTTAAAGTCTTCAGTGATTTTTATTTAAAAATACATTATCATTACTTAAGGAACTTTTTTTTTACACACATTTTCTAAAAGCACATTTATGAATGTATATTTTTGACATGTATATTTTACATTTATGAATATGTAAAATTGTTTAGAGTACAATTCAAACTTCAGTGCATTTAATGTAAGTACAGAAGTTAGATATAATTAATACATCGTAATTTACATATAATATAATTTTATATTTTTACTTATAATTACAATTATATTATAGTTAAAATTGATGATAGGTTAGAAAGTTTTACTATGAAAAGATATTTGTAGTATCATATCGTAACACAACCTATCATTTAATGTGAAATATAATATTATTTTTATTAATTATAATGAAAACATAAAACTATTAAATTTGAATAAATTAATTTATTTATATTTATAATATAACATATAATCTGCATGATATAATTCATAATCTTTTTAAAAGATTAAACAATTAATAAATTCTTGAAGTTAGATTATGTTGGTACACATGATACAAAAACTGACGAGCCAATGTTTAAAATATTTTAAGATATATAATAATTTTAATTTAAAAATTTTATTTTGTATGAAAGATTAAAAAAATTAACACAAGATTAAAGAAATTAAGACAATTAATTTATAAATATCTGATACCTAATAAATAAATCTCAATTTTCTCATTAGATAATGAGAATAATTATTTATTAATTATTAATATTCATTTTTTTTTGATAATAAAATAGTTTATTTTTATGGAAATATGTTTCGTTTTATTTTATGGAATCTGTTTCGTTTTATTTATATTATATTTAAGAAAATTTAGGAATAAAATTAATTTTTAACTTAATTCAAATTAAAATATTATTTTTAAAAAATATACTGTTAGTATATATTAAGATTTATGTCCCAATTTGTTTAATGAATAAAAGAAAAAAAGAATAAATTTATTTTTTTTGATCTAAAATTATTTACTATTTAATATATTTTGTCAAGAATTGATTAATTAAAAAAATTTCTTTAAAAATTAATATGTGTTTTATATTATTATTAGATATATTAGATTATTAATTTGTTATTTATATATTATACTATATTAATATAATAACAAATTATATATATATATATAAATATATATAAATGTTAATAACAAATTATTTTTTATATTTGAAAAAATTGTTAAAATTTATACTTTAAATAAATATATCAAAAAATGATCATTAAAATTAATCAATAAATAATTAACGTATATAATGTATAATATTTTCTTTTTATTGAAAACTCAGTGAAGTAGAACTAAAAAGCAAAATGTCGGCTCGCTTCGATCGGTTTGTATATAACTATATTCAAGATGTATTGATACTAACATTTGATTTAGGTTTTAATCTCTCACATTTTGAATTAAAATGTTCGAAAATGTATCTTCTGAACAAAAAGATAATCATTTTAAAGATGAATATTTTGAAGAATTTGAACATAAACCATTACTAATAAGTATACCAAAAGTAGAACCAATATGTTCTAATGTAACTAATTTAAATGAAAATATACCGAATGAGGTAAGTATATGATTATTAATATTCTTAATATATTTTATTTTATATGTTTTTTTTTATAACTTTATTTTTCCTTTTTTTATTTATAAAATAAATCTATTGCGTAATAATTTAAAATATATTATTAGATATAGATAGTAATATTATTAAGAATTTATTGAATTCGATATTATAAAAAAAAGTACGACATAATGAAATTCGTAATTTTTAAAATAAGAAAGAATAGTCAGTTTATATCTCAAATAAATTTTGGCGGGAATTTTAAATTTATTTATTTTCTTTTTTATGATATATATATATATATATATATATATATATATTTCATTCTATATTATATAATAATAAATTATTATATTCTATATTATATTCTATATTATATATAATATATAAATTCATATATATATTATATGTAATAATATTTCATTCAATATTATATAATAATAAAAACATAGATTTATTTATTAGAATATTTTTTAAATAATTATTTAAAATTTTTTTTTAAATTTTAATTTGTATAATAATTGTATTTACATTTTTTAAATTTTAGGATGAAAAAATTACATCAGCAATTCCTTTAATTATGCCATGTAAAATAAAGGATCCTATTATTTTACTTGAAAGATGTGATAAAATATGGGAGACATTAAAAGTAATAAAAGATGTACAAGATAAAAGTAAAATTGATACACTTAATACATTACCATTAGAAATAAATTCAAAACCATTATATATTCAATATCAATCACCATTAGAAAACAGTAATGTTGAATTACCAAATTTTAAATTTTCTGTAAAATATAAAAAGAGATTATTTAATTGTTTAACATGTGGAAAACAATATACTGAAAATAGAAGATTGAGATCTCATTCAGAAAAAGTACATGGTATTTACATACCACCAAAACGAAAAAGATGCACTGTTTTATATCAAAAACATATTGATAAAATAAAAGAAAAAGATTCTAACATTGTCGACAGAGAAGTAGATTGTAGTGGAAAAGTTTCATTAAAAAAAGATGAAAGTAGATTACATGTAGGAACATCATTACAATCTACATCATCATTAAATGATAACAAAATTATTTCAGATTTAAGAAGAAAAAAAAATATTAATGAAACTATATGTAAAAATGAACAAGAAAAAAAAGTATTAAATAAAGAATTCAAACAAGAAAAAATAATCTCAGAATCTCATATATCTTTATTAACATGTATATTATGCAAAAAAACTATAAATGATATAAGAAAGCATTTAATTGATTATCATAAAATTGAATCACCTGATTTTATGTTAAAGAATTTAAATGAAACATCTAATCATTTAAAAGACAAATTAAAAACAGGAGTTCCTAATGATGAGAATAAATTTTTTGAAATTATTGAAAATAAGAAAAGAATAATATCAAATATACAATATTCAAATTCTAGAAAAAGATATAAAGTTAATAATAATAATAAAAACTCGCAGGTTGATGAAAATGATACACGTCAATGTGATATTTGTCTTGGTCGCTATAAAATTCGTAGTTTTTATACACATATGCGTTATCATCGTCAGCGTGGAGAAACAAAAGAAAATTTCCATTTATTTGATAATAAATATTTAAAATCTCCATTATATTTAAAATCAAAATTAAATTCAAGTAACATATCCAATGAAAATTCAAATAATCACAGTAATAAAAATAATTCAATATCATTTAAAAATAAAGAAAAAGAATGGCAAACTGAAAATGATATGCAAAATAAAGATAACATTAAGAAGACATCAAATAGAAATAATATTTGTTCCTGTGGTAGAAAATTTCGTAACCCTCATACATTATTTGTACATAAGAAAAAATGTACTTCAATAGATGAATTAAAACAGCCAATTATAAAAAACAGAGTAAATATAAGAAGCCAATATGTTATACAAAATAATTCTGATAGAAATTCTGAAATTGGAATTAGCATAACAATAAAGAAAAAAAATAATTCTTATGAAATCATTGACAGAAATAATAAAAATAAAAATAAAATGCAAGATTCCATTAATTCAAAATATTTTAATGCATCAAGTATTTCAGGAAATAATACCCAAATAGAATTACAAGATCAATTACGAGATGAAACTCCAGAATTATCTAAATATAGTGAAAAACACAGTATTTTAAAAATTCAATCTGCTGATGAAGATATTGATATTGACATTGAAGATGACTCACAAACAAATGATTTTTGTAAAGAAAAAGAAGAACAAAAAGTAAAAGTGGAACAAGATGATAATTCTTGCCAAAAATCTATTAACTCAGAGTTTTTGAAAAAAAAAATTCTTACCAAACGTAATTATAAACAATCTAATGGCATCAAAATAAACTTCGCTAAGAAATATAATATTTGTGTATGTGGTTATAAATTTTATACCAGAAGAGCTCTTGAGATTCATACTAATAAACATCATCCAAATTCGAATTTGATATGTGGTTATTGTAAAATTAGTTTTTCTAATGGTATTACATGGAATAAACATCAATGTTCTATTAATGAAGGAAAAAAGTTTATTGATGTACAAATGGAAATAAATTGTCTTTATTGTACTGTTTCTTTGAGTTCACATAAAAAATTTGATGATCATATAAGACAAAAACATCATGATTCTATATTGCCATTTCAATGTTTTCGGTGCTATAAACGATTTTCTAATACCTCATCTCGGAAAATACATTTTGATACAGATCATGCAATAACTGTTTGTTCCTTATGTAATAACAAAATTTTTGATATTATGAAATCTAGGCATGAAGCATATCATTATGGACTTGGATTTCCTTGTCATATTTGTAAAAGAACTTATACCACTAAAGAAAATTTATTAAAACATACAAAAAGATGTCACAAATATCATAAAATATCATTTATGGCAAACAATGATTTAAATGTATAATATTTTTTATGAATTTTATAATTTATATTATATATTTATAAAAGAGAAGTGAAATATCTGAAAAATTATAAAATTATAATAATAAAAATAAAAACATTGAAATAACGTTTAAATAGATAATTTAACATGAAAAAAAACAAATGAATGAAATAAATATGACACAATTATTTTTATTTATAATTTATTTTTCAATTTTTTCTTCTTTTTTAATTAAAAAAGAAATAAGTAACGATTTTTATAAGGAGGATGTCACTTTATGATAATATGAAATATATAGTACATTATAGTACATTAATTTATTATATAAAAAAAAGATATATTGTTGAATATATATAATACTGTGTTTATATTTATGTCAAACATAAAAATAACTGTATATATAAAAAATATAGGTATAAGTAATATAAAGATGAATAAAGAAGGTATATATAATTTGAACTATCATTACATACAATTTTTATTTTTTAAGTACATAAAATTGTAAAATTGAACTGAATTTCAATCTTAATTAAAGTTTAATGTTTATTATGAATAAATACGATAAGACGAGTTACATTACATTTAATTTTTACAGAAATAAAATTTTTTCATTAAATATATATATTTCAATTAATGATAAATAATATTATAGTTTTATTTATGTTAATTATCAAATATATTATTTAATTATCTCATGAAGCTTTTTATAAAATATCTATCTGCAAAAAATTGATGACACAAATGTTTGAAACTTTGTTTGAAATACAGTTACTATTATCAAAAATATATTTTTCTTTTAAAGTCAATATTAAATTATTATTGATTGTAATAATTTTATTGACTAAATAAATAAATAAATATTATATAAGATACAAGAAAATTTCTTTATACTTATTCTTTAAATTCAATGTAACAAATTTAAATAAATTTATTATTAATTTATTACTTAAAATTATTCCTAATGTATCGTAACTCGCATTTTTAAATATTAACAAATAAATAATATAAGGTAATAATATAATTAAAATATGATAAAATTTTTGATATTTTTTTGTACTATAGAATTTAAGAATTAATTAAGAAATAAATGATGCTTTTTATTTTTTTATTTATATTAAAGATATGATTTTAATTAAGAAACATTATTTTATTATTTATACATTTTTATTTAAATTGACTTGCATTTTTATCGATAAATCACGAAATATAAGATGAAATATTTTCATCTCTTTTTCTTAGCTATTATCATATTAGAATATTTTAATTAATATAAGTTTTATATATATCTTTAGAAAAAAACAAAAACTATTGATGTAATTAATAATTTATTTTATAATATTATAATAATAAATATGTAATAAAATTATAAATTAAATATTTAGTGCAATCGTAAAGAATTATTAAAATTAAATGTAAATGTAATATTAATAGCATTAATATTGATTTTGAAATAAAATAAATAAAAAAAACAAATTTTTGTTTGAAATATTTAAAAACATAATTTCATTTTTATATTTTATGATATTTTTGATAGAGATGATTATAAAATGATAATAAAATCGACTTTTATGATATTCTTAATATTACATGGAAAAAGAATAATGAATGTCTTTCAAGACACCATATACTAAAACGGATTAAATTTGGTGGTGATTTATTTATAATATATTCTATTTTTAAATATAGAAATAGAATTAATACATAGAATAGATCCATTACATCAAATCGATGATATGTATATTGTAAAATATACAAATTTTCTAGAAAAAAGTATTTCAAAATATGTTAGAAAATGAAATACGTTTATATAATAAATATATACTCTAAAGATATTGCGAAAAATAGAAAAAATTACAACAATAACTTAACAATTTAAAATCTCTATCAATTAATAATCTGTTTAAAATTTCGATATGTAAACTTAATAAAAAATATTTAGGTATATTTAAAGTTAGCAAATCAGTAGAATATTTCAATATTATTCAATATATTTCAATATTATGAATTGATTGATAGCAAAATATATAAAAACAAATATATTTTTTATTTTATATATAGAATAATGCGAAAATGATTAAATATGATTATTAGAATTATATTTAAATTAAAAAGTCATTATTTATAAAAAAAATAGAATCTTATAAATTATCGTATACATAACTAAATATGATATAAGATCATATATGATATAAAACTTTATAAATTTTGTTCTATTGGAAAAAAAATTCAAATATTTCTTAATAATTAATTGTACAAAATTTCATGCAAGAAATTTATCACTTAAAATAGTAATAATAACAAGATTATTTTATTTTTTTCTGTATTTTTTTTAAAAACCCTCAGTATGCATATCAATTTGATTTTTTGTTTTTATATATAGATACTGAATTAAATATTATTTAAGTTAATGTAATAAAATATGCATATTTAGTTTTACTTATAACTTTATGCTGTACGAAGTAGTCACAATGATGGGAATCGGGAAGCTCGATTGAAAAGAGGGGATAGCCAGCGCATCTGAAACATGATCACCAGGCGTCGCTTCGAGCGTACCCGTCGCCATCGAAGTTATAAAACCGATCAAAGCCGTACGGAGTTTCCAGGAGGGTGGTCGCGTTACGCTCAGAACTTTCTTAAACAGACGGAATCCTTTTGACTAATATATATATATGATTTGGTTCGCGCAACGGCGAAAGTAGAAAAAAAATGACGGAACTTCGTGTGATTTGACAGTGAAGAAACATTTAATGGGAAAAGTGCCTCGGTATCCTGTGGTTAGTATTCGGGAATTCTAAGTATCGCTACAACACCCTGTAGCTCTTTGGTTAATCGCGTCATTTTTCGATGCATCAGGATTCGATTAATACATGATTCTTCGACAAGGTAGCTTGCTTTGATAGATTACGTATATTGAGTATATTCAGTCATGAAAATAGAAAGAAACAAAGTTTATGAAAAGTTATAAAATATTAATCATCAAATATAATGTGTAGTTTTATAGAAAATAAGAAACTAAGGCCGGCATAGTCAATATATGTGTACACAGTGACTCGGACAATAGCCCGAGGCAGAAATTCTGCTTTAGAGAAATATGGTGGATTCGTTTGATATCGATCACACATTATGATTTGTAAAATCAATCCATAAATTTCAATTTTCAAATTTATATATTTTCAGGAATAATTTTGTCTTCATTTTCATATGTTTTCCATCAGTTTTGTTTTGTTCTGTTTATATAATGGATAATCGGACATTAGTAATAGTCATTTTCGAAATAATAACGAATTTATTTTCTTTTTAGTTTCTTTTACAAATATCAAATTTTATACATTATTGTATATGATGTGAATTTTTTCTAGATTTATGATGAAAACTAGCGGATTTTGATTTTGAATTCATAGAATTTCTTCTTATTTAACACAAACAAAGATATAAAAGAAGAATAAGAAAACATTTCTTTCAAATTTTACAATCATATTTTTGTCATCACGTTCGTTATAGATTTTTATCTCAATACACAATGCTTTTGAATAAAGTTTTCTATAAGTTTCATTCGTATGAAATACGAAATATCTCTTATTTGAATATTTGGGAATCAAAACGATCATCCCGCGCGACACTGCTTTTATCGCGGTGGTTCGCATACTTGAGAGGCGCGCAGTGCTCAAACGGGCACGGCCGAATCGATTTTCCCTGGTTCCACTACTGACGATAGAGCTACATGTATGATTACTCGAGTTCCTCACAGCTATCGAAAACTATTTTGCCCAGTTTCTTCTAATGAACGGTAGTATTTTCTATAATCTGTCCGCTGTGAGTCGATTGAATCTATAACAAAAGTTTTACGCTGTTTAACCGTTAGTTCGGTAACGTCAGTGGAAACCGGCCTATATGAGATTGGCTAAAATTAAACGTAGTTGAAAACGAGCTCAATTCGTGATGCAGTTAAAATGTGGATAGAAACATTTATTTCCAATGACAATACAGTTTTGATTATTTTAATTTTCGAGAAATACTCGTTGCATTGATTGATTAGTTCTCGATCGGCATATCTTGTGAAGTCTGCCTCCTAACGTGCTTGAACTGGCTAGTCATATACCGTTATACCACCCGTATCGCGCGGTGAGAATCCTAAAAATAGCGGCGACCAGTGAACGAAAATAATTCTACATTTTCTAATGAATTTCGGTAGCGTGTCAGCAAAAGAAAGGGAACTCTTGTACATGACATGTTAATCGAGTTAAATTGCGATCAATCATTTCTTTAATTATTCGGAATACGTTTCTATAATATTTATAACCTGTGATTTAAATTCTGCGAGACAATTCATTCTTTGCTTTGTGTTACAGCCTTTACTCGAACATAGATATACTGGTTACCTTTTCCTATCGTTTTCGAAGTAGTTTCCAATAGGATCGATATTTTATAGATAGATGTGATAGTATAGGTAGTAAAGCTGACGAAACGAAAGAAATAGGAGCAATAAGATCCGAAAGAATTAGCCAATCGGTTCGGCGATCCGATAGATTGACCCGTTTCTTCTGATCGACGATTCGCCGTCTCGTTTGAACAGATATCCGGATTTTGGCCAGCGGACCGACATTGGTAATCAGTGAACGGAAGGAAAGCTCGAGGCGTGGAACGCGAAAGGGTGAGATAGGGGTGAACTGGTGGAGGGTGAGGCTGAAGTGATGACGGGCGAGGAAGGAAAGTGCGGGGGTGGAACTGGCACTGGTGGGGATGCCGGTGTTGGAAACACGAACACGAACCTTACCGATAATGTGAACAATATTAATGCCAACGTACATGCGAATCTTAACGCCAACATTAATGTCAGCCAACAGAATGGAGGACCGGAAAAAGCGCCTGTCGTCGGCGGTACCAATGTGGAAACGTTACCTCGCACTGGTAAACAGGTAAGAGAATTATGTCTTTTTTTCTAATTTTTAAAATTATCGTCATCGTCATCATGACACAATTTTTCAAGCAAATATTTTATTATATGCAATTTATTATTAATTTTAAATTATATGCGAGCATTATATATATATGTCTCGGTTTTCTGTAATTTTTTTCCATAATTCAATACGGGTTCAGATTACGAAACGTTTATTATATTTAAAAGAGATAAGTAAGTATCTTCCTTTTAGTTGATCTAGACCGACAGAGAAAGATTAGGAAACATAGGAAGTTTTGATGAAATGCCGTAATTTAATATTCATGAAAGAAAGATGACACTAGAAGCTGTGTATCTGGTTTTTAGTATACTTGGCGATACCGTAAGAAACAGGCGATCATTAGATCTTTTCTTTTGGCGTATCTAACAATTTACAACGATAATCAATACATTTACTATAACATTTATCCGTCGAATAATCATTTGTATACAGTTTTTAATTGTATTTGTTCTTTCTTACGTAACAATTTGATAACGATTGATAGATTAAACGTAGAGAAGAGATTTAATAATTTTATAACTGATTTTATAATTTATTCATAATTTATTCATTCATTCTTCATTTTAATAAGAATAACACAACTATTCAATTTGCTTAGTATTAAATACACTTGATAAAATTTCTATTCAGATCGACCAGAGGATACTTGTTTAAATTTAAATTAATCCAATCTCAGAGATGTTATAACATTCTTTGTTATACTATTTTAGGATTCTTATAAAGAATTCTTGATAATTAATTAAAATATAAAATATATAATATTCCTTGCTTCCTAGCACATTTAATAAATCCGTTTTTTAAAACGTACGATTCCTTATTTTATTCGAAAATAGCAATTTAAAAAAAAAATAGTTTTCTTTAAATAAAATATTAGTTTAATATTAATTTTACACGATAAATTTCAAGAATTTATATTAAATTCTTTTTTTTTTTCGAATAAGAAAATTTTCCAATCATTATTCAATTATTATAATTGATACTCATCGTTAGACTCGTAAAAAATGACTCGGAATATTTGTACGCCTATTTACAGTAAATTGTAATTATGCATATTAGAGAAAAGCAAACAAGAATAATAACCTTGAATATGAAGAAGTCATGATTTTATTTAATCACAACATAAATTGCGAAAATAATGCGAAGAACATAGTAAATATACATGGAAGTTACAAGACTATCTACATAATGAGTTTTTCAACTTATTACATTTACTTTGCATTAACGTATTAGGTTTGATGACTGATTGTTCCAGCTCAAAGGTCATGGTTAATGTAGATTGTAGATCGTGAAAATTGTAAATAGAGAATATAAGTTGTGCGTAGAGGATTTTGCGAGTCCAAAAACACGTATTGTACGATACACGACGAGAACTCGTTTCTATTTATAATCTATTCAACTCCAAAATTAATTGACATTTGAGATTAAAACGAGTTTGTTCGTTTTAAAACTGTCCATTTCTGGACGATCAAGCAAGTGTTTTTACTTAAAATTACGATACCCGTGAAAACTTTAATGCAATACAAACGCAATACAAAGAATATATTTATTGGCACTGCCTGTAGGTAGTATCGTGTACACAGAAGTGTAAAAAAACCATCTTCGTGATTTTCTTATTTCTTTAACACGAGTTATATTTTTCGTACGATTTTCTGAATGAATCAAATGGTATTTCCAGAAAAAGTAGCGTGTTGTAAATACATGAAGAAATGTGTATGGACACGAGCCAAGCTCTTTTACATATCCTTTCCTCGAACGCATTTTATATTCTCCTCGAATATTAAATTAGTCATGTAAAACAAAGAAATTTTCAAATTCTCAAAAAAAAAAAAATAAATAAATAAATAATCTTCTACTTCTTTGTCCTTAAGAATGAATTTCAATATTTACAACATTGCATATATTTTTGATGGCTCGTCAAAAGTAAAGTTGTTTTATCACAATTCTCCTCATTGCTCATGGAGTTCTCTGATAAAGATTGTATAAACTCACTTACCAGACGGTTACCATATTGGCGATCATTTATGATTTGTACGTGACTCCGTTTATCTACTCGTATAGTTTAGACTCACGTAAAATTACGTCATAATCCTATCAGTACGGACCCTGTAAACGGATCTTCATAAATGGACCTTCATTCATGCTACGAGGCCATGGTTACTATCTCTAATCATTTCAAGCGTAACTCTCCATATAGCAAAAATACTTTTGTATTCTTATTGCGATAAAACAAACTTGCTTTCGTTCGGATCGATCAAAAGCATCGAACGATGTCGCTCGTTAAAATACAATATTTATCTATCTCAAGATCTATAATTTTTTTTTTTTTTTTTTTTTTGTTCGTTCATGTTCGAGGAACTTGGATTAAACATTTCGATAATAGTACGTACCCAGAATGCGAGAAGATTGCTAAACTTATTAGTCAGATGGTAAATACTTGAACAAATGTGTTCAGCCAGAGAACGTTATTCTCCGGTGTAATAACGAGCGGAAGTTCAGTTGCTATTTACCTTGACTTATGCAAATTGAGTAATTGATGTTTAAAAAAAAAAAGTACGAAAAAAACGAAAGACTGAAATGTACTGCAGACGTCAAGTTTTTTTTTTTTTTCTTTTTTTTTTATATCGAACATAAAAAAATGTGTAAATTTGTTGAGATTTGCTCACTTTAATTCACTTTAAATACGAAATTTCATAAAGACCTCGATGCTGTTACATCGCGAACGATAAAGGGCGTAATGGCGATGACGAATGTAGGTCATTCGTGTACTTTATCCAAGATGTATTGTGCCTCGTTACTTCGTGACATTCACCGATACGACCGCTATAATTTCATGGTCTTCGTGCAGGGAAGCGAAGTACAAGTATTGTTCGCTACATCACACATCGCTGTGCGTAAATGCGTTTATGAAAGTAAGCGTGTAAAGACATGTGTGACGAGTCTGGGTTACATCTGATTGCTTACAATGCGACGCTGTGTAACGTACACCCACACTTGTTAGGAATACGTGCGTTTTTTTCTTTTCTTTCTTTTTTTTTCATTGTCCCCTTCATCCGGTTGCAGAATCTGTTTAGGAAACAAATCGTCGCAATTTCTATGGTGATTAGAAAGAAAATAGGATTTAGAATATCAATTCGATGGAAATTTCTGCAATTATATCACACCGTTACAAATATGGAATACGTAATCGTAGCTTTAAACTAATTTTTTATTAAATTTCATTATCTATGAAATTATTCGATTTCCACGAGAGAAGAATGTCCGCTATTTTAAACAGACAATTATTTTCCTCTTGCATCACACAATATTAAACATCCATAGCGATCTACGATCTTTAGAGAAATACGCGATAGCCATTAATATCAATTTCCTGTACGTGTAATTGTTATTTTTGCGCCGTGAATTAATGACGCATGACGATCGTTAAGTTCAGATGTAAAAGTAAACGTAGCCACAACTAATATACATACAGGTTCCGTACATGTCTCCGTAATCTTGACATACATACCTATTACCGACGTTTCGTTTCAATTCTTTTTTTTTTTTTTTTTCCTATCGCGTTTTTTGCGACACTCGCGACGGCGCATATGTTTCACCGTCTTTTCCGGAGCGACAATTAATCCGCTTCGTAAAACGCATAGTTATTAAAATGTCGTAATAGCAACTATCGTGAGGAAGGGAAAAAGCTTTGAAGTAGGAAGAAGAAAGGAGTCCCTTTGCTTAAAGGGACCGGACCAATTAAAAACGGTCTCTCTGTAGTACAATAGTAGCCGTTGCTCGGAAAGGAAAGGAGCACGGCACGTGGCTTCCTTTGCAAATTTCGTTAATTTAATCAGCGTTGATCCGGTTGGTCAGCTATGCCTGTGATAATGCATGCGTTCACGCGGGTACGCGTAATTTTACAGTTTTCTACTCGTCGATTTCTCAACCGTGTATGGAACTGGGTTGCGAAACCGCATAAAGAGACACGCGAACGCAAGCGCACACGCGATCCAGGCTCATCTACGTGTAAAGTTCCTTCCTGGGGTGTAAAGGTGGAGACTGAAAATAAACGTTTTTTGCCTCGATATGTTGCCTCGCGTATACCGACATATCGCCGATGCTCGAGCAGAGAACTTAAAGCTCCGTTTCCACCGCTTGAACTTGTTCGAACCACGTATACGTAATATAGTTGGAAGGGGGAAAAAGTTGTATTCTTACCGCGTTACGGTATGTTCAATTTATACATTTTTATTACGATGTATTTTTATTATCGCGTTCAATGTTATATCGGGTGTTAAAAAAATGAAGGTCGAAGGTGTAATAAAAATTCTGACCAATAAAAAAAGAGACCCGACTTTCTTTTTCTTAGCGATTAATATAATACTTGTGCATCGTACGGAGAAGCGTATACTTTCTCGATAGTTTTAAAGAAGAGATTTCTCAAAAGAAATTTGGCACCGTGCCTCGGATGCGTACTTATGGATAGACACGTAATATATCGGAGACGACGCCAGTGATTGACCCAGTTTAATAAAGTCTCATAAAACGCTATCGTCATTAAAAGCTTTATAAGTAGTTTGAGTTATTCATCAGGCCCAACAATCGACCACGATGTGTCATCAACATAAATCTAATTAAATTATTAAATCGTGACGGCCTCGACGAGATGTCAGCCACTTTCTTCTAGTTGTTTTAATAGATGTTGCTCCAATCAAATTTGACCCTTTCTATTTCTCATTTTATACATACGATTCGATATCATTGCGATAAAGGATTAATTCTTGCTTACGTTATATACTTTCCATTACATTCTTCATAATTTAATTGTACAATGGCTCTCGTATCTTCAGGGATCATAATTTATCACGTTACCCTATACGGAATGATCAAAAAGGGTGGATGAAGGGTTCTGGCCTTTTCTTGTGCACTTAATACTTCCTCATCTGTTTTTTTTTCGCGTATGTTCGACCCGGTAACCC